GTAGCATGTCTTAACTCAGAAGCACATATGAAGTCTGTTCTCAACTCTGGATTTGCTTTACAGTTATTTATAAATCTCAAACATAAAGCAGTTATCCTAATTAATTTACTGAATGAGGAGTATCTTGTGATCAAATTGTTTTCATTTTGGCTATTTTCAACAGTTGCATTTACAACAACTGATTTCTTAAACTCTAACTTATCGACATCTACTTCACTTTCTTCCATTGATTCTAAGGAGGATGGCCATGCTGTATTATTCATTGTCAACCAACAGGGTCCATGCCACCAGAAGAGCTTGCTTAAGGATAAACCCATAGAAATCAAATCGGCGGGATTATTCTTTCCTATACAATGATGCCATTCCTTTGGGTTGCTGTATTTTTGTATTTTTTTTATTCTATTCTTCACGAAACACCTTATGTCTCTTTGGATCACCTTTGATCCCAGTAATAAGCTATTGAGGAATCTGTCCAAAAATATCGAGTAGTAACTGGAAAACTTAGTGTAGTTACAATTTTATTGCTCAATCTTGAAGACAAAAGTGCACCATGAGTTCCAATCTAGGAATCGAAAAGGGTTTTTAACAGGAGCTACCCTGCTCTTTGATGCTACAAACCTAGAAATGATATTTCCACTCTTTTAATTCTATGCGTAAGTACGCAACAGTGTACCATAAGTTTTCTTAAGATGCATCTGAAAAACAGTGTAATTGTATAGTGATTGCAGGACTGGGCGCAAAGAATTTTTAAAATAATATCGGGAAATAATTATTTCCTTTACATCTTGGATCCTCATCGCACCATTTATTCCAAGCAATTTCTAACTGTTTGGGCAATTTTTCATCCCAGTCTAATCCTGAACACCAAATTTCTTGTATCAAGTACTTAGCTCTAATAGTATATGGTTCTATAAAGTGGACCTACTGCTTGTAGTAAGTGTCTTTTTGTGTTAGTTCTTTTTAAAAGAAATTTTTCCAGATTTCTGGTATCGAAATAAAACGTATCAGTTTGTTTATCCCAACCAATTCCCAATACTTTTGAAGCTATCAATTTTCTATCTAAAGCCTCTTCACCCTGATCTACATTGAAGTTTAAATTCTTTAATTTTTTACTTAGCTCAGGAGAATTGGTTTTCCACTTTCGAAGGTTCATGCTTACCTCTTTTAGAATTACACTCTCTTTACAAGTCTTTAAAGCCTGTTGAACAGTGATTTGCCCACAAATAAAATTGTTGACGTACAATGATTCATTAAGATGCTTAGGAAGTCAGACGAAATATATCTACATACCTTATCAAGTGATGTTTGATTGTGGTTGCAAGGAGGAACAGGCTAGATCTCACCCCAAATCCCTTGTGATCCGAAAGATTTCCAATTTCTTGTTTTCATCATCAGTTCCTGGATCTTCTTCCCAGAAGAATCTGGTGTAGTTTCATCATTTTCATGTATTTCAATCTGGAGAAAAGCCATCTTAATATCTGCAACAAATGCTATCGGATTCGTTCTAAATCTAATCAAAAGAAGAAATAGGTTAGGCATAAAATTAAGTCCTGTGTATAAGCAATCGTTCAAGGATAATTGACCTTTTACATGCGCTGAAGCATCAAACACAATGTGTAATTTGCTTGTAGTCTTATCTGTACGTATTACAGCTCGATGTGGTAGATAAAATGTATTTTGGCGTAAATTTGCTTCGTCAACTGGGACAGGTTCAATAATATTCTCTGAAAGATAATTCTTTAGAACAGTGTTACATTCACAAAATAAGGACGGGTCATTTGTAAAAGATGATTTCAGTCTCAAAAATCTTTTCATTGCTATCTACTCGTTATTTTCTAATAATGTCTTCATATTTGGTTTCCAGGGCAATTTCACTTTGTATCGCTTATTTTGATATGTAATTCTTTATTCAAATTCACTCATTATTTCTTTCTCAGTGGGTTCTATTTCCGCTACTTCTGCCTTGATACCCAAATTCTCTAAATCCCAAAATTCCTTGAGTTGATCGGAAATATTGGATTCGTTTACCGTAACACTCATTGCAAACGTTTCATTTAAGTTCATGTTTTGGCCTTGCAAACACCACCCAAATATTGTTTCAACTGCAACGAGGGTTTTGCTTAGGCATGTAATTCGACCAGTGACAATATCATAATAGTGTGTGTGTACACTGACAGCTCTATGTTAGAGAGAGCACGCAGTGCCAGAGCAAGTATCCATAGCGAGCTTCTACTTACCCATTGGGTCCTGTTATGTCTTTGATGGGGAAATCAAAGCTATTGCTGTGGCTATTCAACAACTGTCAATTCGTGGCCACTCTTTTGCAGAGGCTGTCATATTGTCAGAGTCCAAAAGTGCACTTCAAGTTTTTCAGAGTAATCAAAATATTTCCAAAAGAATTTTAGATTGTAGGCCTCTACTTAAGGCAATGGCACCCAGAATTTCTTTTCAGTGGGTTCCAGCCCACTGTGGAATTATGGGAAAGAAAAAGCTGATACATTAGCCAAGAAAGGACCTTTGATAATGAAACGCATTAATTGACCGCTTTCTTTTGACATGATTAAATTGTTTGTTAACCTGACTCTTAAAGAAAATCCTTGAACAGAATATGATTCAACATGCTGTGGATAAAAGTTGGAGGATTTTGAGGGGAAGAGACAACTTTCATTCTCAGTTTTCAAGAAAAACAGCTGTAACTCTATTTAAACATCTGACTGAACATGACTGTTTACAAGTCCACCTCTACAGAATTGGAGTGGTGGATTCCCCAAAGTATGTTTTGTGCGACTCCAGTCAGTCTATGATTTTTGAACATTTAAATATTTGTATTTCACTTTCTCAGTACGAGGACATGTTAAAAGTACTGGAGAGATTTTTTATAAAATGCACTTGAAAATATTCAAATTCTATGTGAGAATTCTATGAAAGTTTCCCCCCCATCACCAAAATATTGCTGCTGTAAACTAGGGGCATGGATACCATTGCAATTTCTAAAGCCCATTTCCTTATGAAAATGTATTGATCTCTCTGTACATTGCTATGTGTTGTGACTTATACATCGGAAACCACTATTCTTAATATTTACAAATATCAGATGGAATTTATTCTTTAAGAGTAATATAATTATAAATGGATTATTTTCTTTCTGATTTATATGACTCTTTGTTCATGTGTGCTATGTGACATCTTTCTTTCTTTCTTTTTTTTTTTTTTTTAAAGAAACTAAAGACTTTTGTAAAACTTCAGCTAATGTGATCATGTAAAAATTCTGATTGTAACGAATGAATTTCTTAATAATCAAAATTTTTAGCATGTAAGGGTTTCCTAACTGAAAGTGGCACTGCCACAATAGCAATTGGAATGCTACCAGCAGCTATGCCACATTACATAAACTGAGAAAAAACAATCAAGACCGAGTAACATGGCATGCTGTCCCACAGGGTTTTTCTCTTCAATTATAATGCTCATCCTCATGTGGCTGTTGTGTGCAAAACATTGTTAGCATAGTTTCATTGGGAAAATCTGGAACATCCCCCCTACAGCCCTGACCTCTGACCTTGTAACTACCATGTCTTTGGGCTGTTCTAGAAAACTCTTTAGGGACAGCAATTTGCAAACGATTAAGAGGTGCAGGCTGCTGTTTAAAACTGGTTCCACAGCCAACCCCCAGAGTTTCTCGGGGTATTTGTCATCTCGTGAACTGCTGAAACACCTGTTTCAACCTTTAAGGCAGCTATCTCTACCCTATATGCTCCATATATATTAGTTTTTATTTTGTATACTTATTTACAGCAATACCATTAAACATTTGTCACACCAACTGTAGTGCCCTTTACACTTGAGCCATCCTTATAACTGTATTTATTACAAAATGGTAATTATATCAGATTGTTTTAGAATATTACAAAGTTGAATTAGATGTTATACTAGTAAATGTTATTAGTATAACATGCAGTTAGTAAATACCATGTTAAAAATATAGCAATGTACAGCCAATATGTCAAAAGCACCCTTATATGGCAATGTATGCATTTTCTTTTAAAGCTAATAAACTCCCGATTCGGGCCTGGGAGGATGCGCGGGACACATGCCTCTTTACCTATGTTATGCATCAGGCATCCCCGTCCTCCGTCACCTACCTACCTACTAGTAAATATTTTGGAGTAAAGCTGGAAGCAGTATATGAATCTAAAATAGTAAAATAGGAAAGAAAGATAAAATTAACTTAACTCTGAAAATATAAATTTAAAAAAAAAAAAAAAATTAAGACAGAACTTATTTACTTTCAGAGTATGTGTGTAGGAAAAAAAGGACCAGTAGAAAGCAATAAACTGGACCATTGGAGGAAAAAAAATCACTAAAATCTGACCCTTTGTGGGCAAGAAAGGAGTTTTACTTAGGTAGATAAGGGGCCATCCATAGTGGGTTTAAATGTTCTGTTGAGATGCTATATTATGATTTATACTTTGACTATTAAAAAGAACTGAGTTTCTGATTTGCTTTGAAAGTATAACTACTTTCATTTATTCATAATAGTGTCTTGGAAACGAAATTATTTGAGTATCTTAGTATTATAGCAAGAATTTTATTCAGTCATTTCCAAGTAGTATGCAGGTGTGTAAGAAATGACTGAACATATACTGATCTGTAATTTAAGAGAATGTTGATTGTGAACTTTTGGAAATATGTGTTATAAATTTTTCAAGTTAATGCTATAGGAAATGCATTGAAGAGTATGTTAAAATGAAAGCTTATGTAATTTCCATGTTTGTTTAATTTGATTTACAAATAGTCTTCCGGTAAAAAGTATTATTTCAGATGGAGTCCGTAACATCTTGGTACCCAATTCAAAACATTAATCATCTCATAACATTCAATTTATTATTATTAAGCTATAAACCTGCTTGGTTTTATTCTCTCTTCTGGTTCTGGAAATACATACAAATAGTATAGTATTTATACTGTGTGCATGTTTGAAATTTTTTTTTGTTGTTGTTTAGGCATGCTGTAGAAAACTGTATAACTGGCTGAAAGTGGCTCCATATCAAGTTGATCCCCAGATTGAAGAAGAGGATGATTTTGATACAAGATATGGCACTAGAGTGTTAGCTATTGCCTATTCTCCCACAAGGTATTTCCACTTCTTTCTTTTTTTCCCTCCTTTTCTTTTGGCAAATTTTAACAGCTGTTGTGTTATTGTTACTTCATGTTTCTGAGAGTGACATCAGATCAAGTCTATGAATTTTATCATAACCAGGGTGCAAGAGGAGCTATGAATGTAGTTTTGCTTAGGTAGGATTTAGGTATTTTATAGGTGTCGGTGTAAATTTGTCCAGATGTGTCAGAGATTTGAAGGAGAATCCTGTGGAGAAATATCTGGAGATCTTCTGGAAAGGTTAAGGGGAGAGGTATGGGAGATCAAAGTTTAGTATGTTTCCAAAACTTTTTTATATGTTAATAAAGAAAAGCAAATTGCAAAAAGTTATTTTGAGTTTTCATAGTACAGAAATGGACTCATTAAATTTCGTAGCTAGCAAGTGTTACAAATTTTGCTTTTTAATTTTTTTGTAGTGTATTCATATAAAAATAGAAAGAACTAAAGCTAGCGATGAAATGATTTAATAATTTTGGTGTTCATTTTGCTGGAAAAAAATGATGAAAAAAATGAGAAAAGTCTTAAATGATTTTCTATGTTTTAATTTTTGAATAATAAATAGTTCTTTATGAGTGTATAGACTTCATAAAGCAATAAATGTCTTTCATTATAAAAATAATTTAGTTTCCTCAAAGTAGATTTGTTTCTTAAAATACTTTTTTAGTTTTTAAATGTGAATATTTTATTTTAGAAAATTGATTTCCTTCTAGTTAAGCATTTCCCCTTTTAATTATTATCTGTAATTTTGACCATAAAAGAGCAATGGCCTAATACAGTCAAAAGTCTTTAATCCGGACGTCAATAATCCGGAATGATCTATAATCCGGACCTCAAAGCTACAAACTTTCTGCGCATGCTTTAATGCGTTAATGCATGCGCATAATACCTTTACACATGCGCATATGAGTCTACGCATGCACATAATACGTTTAATGTATAACGGACGGTATAAGCTAATCTAAAATTATCTAATTATCTATTTCGGTTAATGTTGCAAATTGCGTTGTTCCTTAATCTTCTAATAGGATCCTCCTTTTTATTTTTTGCAGACTGTTAGAGCAATTTTATAAAAGTAAGCTTGAACTTTTGATTATGTAAAAAAGAATTTCCGATTCTGGAGCTACCAAAGGATCTACAAAGCGAAAGCAAGTTTCGATGTCCATCAAAACAAAAAGTGGAATTGCTGCAAAAAATGGATAAAGGCATATCCTTTGATTCTCTAACCATTCCGAAATCTGTTTATCACTTTCACGCTGCTCTGGGGGGGGACGCGCAATGAACTGGAAGTTGATCTGTGAGCACTATCCTTATCTTCAGGGCAGATGTTTTTATTTTATTCGGCTTATAATTCCTTACTAAATGTAGTATTTTATCTCGAAGTACTCCATCTTTGATATGATTTAAATCAAATTTCTCGTCATTATAAATATCACGAATACACATCAAATAGTTTTCTGGTTGCAATTTTCTAATTTCGACTATGCGTAATGTATGCTTTACGCATGTGCACGTTGAAAGAAATATTTAATAAAGTAAACAAATAAATATAAGTTTTTTTTTTCTTGTAAATTTTGATACCCTTTAGATCATAATTGCTCTTTATTTCATAAATTACAGTTTAATATTTTTAATTTTATAATTTCTGCATGCCATCTTATCAGATTTAAACTGATGATCTATAATCCAGAATCATCGGATGTCCCGATGAGTCCGGATTAAAGACTTTTTACTGTATCAGAATGACACTTAAAATAGTGGTTATTTTCAATGTAATTTATTTCATTACTTTTATTTGATCTGAATGTTTAATCCATTATAGAGATTATAAACCATTTTATGAAGTAATATTAAGGCTTATTTACCTAAGGGTAAAGAATATGTCAAAACAGGACTTTTTAAGGGAAACTGGCTTTTATTCACATTACATGTGGAGCTAAACCACCACACACAGAGCTACAATAAGACAGCTTATTTGCTGTGATTCAAACCCAAGCCAAGCTATAAGTTTTCAATGGTTTTTAATGCTTAGCCATTGGTGTGTCTAATGAACCTTAAAATTAATACTTGTATTTAATTTTTCCTTAAATGATGAATTATTAAACTTGTCCACTAGATTATGCAGTTATAATTTCTTATTTTATATAAGAACGCTTTGATATTGGAAATTAATATTATAAATATATCAAACTAAATGTGAAGTTAACATGTTTCATTATAGAATCATGTTATAACTGGTTTAATAATCAGAATTATGCATTTTAAAGTAACATTAAGTCAAATTTGGAAGTGTGGAATTCTTTTTGAAGCATCATCTCTGCTCAACACAAAAACTTCTCTAGTTTATTTCAAGTGTAGCAGATTTGTAATACCATTTTATCTTACCTTTCTGTAATAATTGTTTGTAATGCTTGTAAATTTAAGTGTGTAATATTTGTTATATTTAACTAATTTACTTACTTATTTGCATCTTCTTCAGAGAAGTGCCTGCTTTTTCTGCTTTAGTTGATGGTGATGGTGAAGTATTAGAATTTCTTCGGCTTCCATATTTACTTAACCGGAGGAATGCCTGGCGAGAAAAAGACAGAATATTAAAGGTCGGTATATTTATAATTGCTGTACAGGTAATCAGACATGTAATATTGTATTTCATAGTGTTGTAGAAAGTTTCTATTAATTACAGTAAGTCTAATAATCCAACAACCAGTGATAGAGTGCATTCGATAATCTGTATGTGTGTATCTGATAGGAATGTTATAGTTAACTCTTCCAGTTTTTTGCTATATTTCCAGTTAGATCACTGAATCCCCTAGTTTTTAATTTGTAACCTTTAATAATGAGTGTTTCTCAGCAATAAATTGAATTTATTAAATTAATGGAACTTAGATATGCAAATTTCATTTCTCAACTTAGCATACATAATACTTCTTTTTAAATTTTATTTGATCTTAATTGTCTTGATCGACTGCAAATAGACATAGAACCTTGTATGTCTAACCAGCTTTTAATTAGTGAAAATTTGTATGTACTGTATATTTCCTAGTATAAGATGAGAGTTTTGGGAACTTTTTCTAAAGCTAAAAAGGGGGATTGGCTTGTATAAGTATCTGCTAATTACGCAAAAAACAGATATTTTCCGTTAGTTGATAAGTTGCTAATATTGTTCTGTTAGATATCAAGTGATAAATTGCTAACTATTGCATTTTCAAATTTCTTTATTTTATATTTTTTAAGTTTATGGAAAAAAATTAAATGAAGTGAGTTATTAATTTTATGCTGGTTTTGTGTCATCGCGAAAATGAAAGATCCGTTCGCAAAATTTTCACCTGGCTTTCTTCACTTTTGAACTTGTTTTTCACTTACGTAGAAATGTTGAGCAGCCATACTGTTGTTTGAATTTTCAGCAAAATATATTGTATGTAATTTGAAATTATCCATATAAGAATTTCTGTTTCTCACATAATAAATAAATACAGAAAATAAAACTAGCATTAATACCACGTACAAGACAACAAATGGAATGGATAAGTATGCTGTCTTCAGATCGGGTTACGAGAGTTAAGATTATCATCGTTGGCTTCTGGCATTTTACTCTACAGTAATTTGATTAGAAAATATACCACTCATTTTGCCTGCCTGGCAACATTTTTCCTTCATGGCGACATGTTTGAAGGTTACAAGATTTTCTTTTCTTTTTCTCTTAGATTTTGAATTTGGGTAAATTTTTGAAAAAAAGCACTTTTGTCTTGTACATAGATTGGCATTCGGAAATATATAGTTTTGTTTTACATCAGGGCATGGTACATTATTAAGTTTATCCACTCTATAGTTTGTAGATTAATTATTAATTCAGTTTTCATTATGTTTAAAAGTACTTTCCTAAATTGAAGCTTTCCTTCCTTAATTACAGTTTTCTTCGTAAAAAAGTTTAAGAAAATTACAAAATGAAATTACCCTCAGAAAATTTACAATATATAAAATTTACAGTATATACAGGTGTATCAGTACAGCATTGACAAACTTTTAGTAGAGCTAGAGTACACCTAGATGGGAAAATCACGTAGAAATGCATGTTGGGAAACGCTTTCTTGGGGCAGTAGTGACGACACAAAAGTCAAAGAAAGGAACAAAAATGAGAAAACATGTTTATTATTTGGAGTACAACAAAATAAAGAAAGACAATCATCATCAAAGAAGGTATTCGAAATTACGACTCGGACCATGATGCAGAAACCATGCATAATGCGTCTTCCATGCGCCAGAGAAGTGAAGCCTGCATCACGGGCCAGGGTCATAATTTTAAACACTTTCCTTAATAATGATCATTGTTTTTTTTTTGTTCTTATTTGTAGGTTTCTGCTGTACTAAACATAATAAAACATGTTTTATCTCACTGTGTTCTTCCTTTTTTGCATTTTGCGTTGTCACTACCACGTTTTCCAACCAAGCATTGCTATGGGAATTCCCATTGTCTAGGTATATCCTGAAAGTTTGTCACTGCTATACCCTGTATATTATATACCCTGTATATTAATGTATTTATATGAATATTATAAATAGTTGAATAATTTGAATTATGCATTATAAAGCAAATTTAAATGAATTTTGACTTTTTTAAAAATAGTTCTACTGCACAGTGGGAAAATCCTCCCATAAACTGCCAATTTTGTACCTGAGAACTTCTTGGGTTTTCATATTTCAAAGTTAGCAGCTATAGATTGCTGCTTGATAAGTTGACTATCGTTCAGAAATAATTTACTTCAGAGCCAGCATCATTAGGTCAGAATGTTATGAAGTGAAAGTATTGCTAATCCTGTGATTAATTATTTTGAGGCGGTGAATTCAATCCAAAGTATTTCTTCAAATAATTCTTTAATCACATTTTCTAAAGCTGAAATTTGTTGATTATCAAAACTAATACACTTGTATAAAATTTATGGACCATAATAACCACAGAGCATAGAGAAGTAATGAATCTCCATATTATCCTCAGTGATTTTTTAAGAAGAAAGTGAACATTATTAACTCTGAAAAATTTTTGTGCAGCAGATTCCAAAACAAAATGGTACCAAATATTAAGTTATGGATATTCTGTAGTTGCTGTCTTTAGAATGGTTTTAGTCATTAAATGTTACTTCATGTAGTTTTGCATTCTTACAATATGTTAAATTCTCTTCTTAAAACAGATTTTATTGCATTACATTGATTGGTTTGACAATCCTACATATTTGGTATTTCAGTATTACTGAAGTCTAAAAGTTGCCTGATTATTAAATGTTTATTGTATTTTTTTAATTTGAATAAACTAGAAATTAGAACTGATTTTGAAGAGAATGTAAAGTAGAAATAAGTAACTTTTTTTTTTTTGTAAGATTTTTAATTATTATATGTGAAAAGTTTTACACCACTTTAATGCTGTACACTTTTGAGATTGGCAACCATGCTCATAATAATCTCTTTGAATCAAGCAGCAGCGCTGTTTTCGTATGCGTTCTTCTTATTTTCCAAGTTCCAACTGTTTTTATAACAAATCGTGATATTTTTTGCCTTGAACTTAATTTTAAAATGTGAGCTTGTGGAATTTGCTAACTATAGAAGATAGTGTGTTAAAATTTCTGCAGTAATATGTATATAATTTTTTAGCATCAATTAATTTTTTTAGCATTTGTTTCTCATTCCCAAATTCAGTTTTTTCCACACTTTTTGTAAAATATTAAAATGTATGCTGTTCATGGTATTTTAAATATAAAAATGCATTAAAAGTGAATTCGTCGCCCCTTTTTCCTTTTATTTTAGCCATTTTGTATTTTAAACAAAAACCGTGTGAATCTAATGGCATCCCCATTTTAAAACTTTAAATAATAAAAAAATTGTTTGTCGGCGAATGTAATGCGCATCAATGATATGAGGAATTTATTGAATCTTATTTTATACAACAATGGATTTGTATATAAACTATCAATTAATGGTATGATAATTTTATTTAAATTTAGATACCATATTTTATACAACAATGGATTTATACATAAAGTAGCAGAACATAGAATTAACCTATTAGTGGGCTATTGTCATGTGAAACAATCATTGTTAATTAGCACTACCGTATATACGGTACCTATCGTAAAATATGAACATGAAATAAATCGTAACATTTCTATCTAGCTAACAGTTTCTACAATCAGTGATTAATAGTAAACGTCTTTATTCACTAATGTTTTCATCACTGGAATCCTCGCAGCTCTCTTCGTCAGAAGCAGATTCATTTCTTCTTTCCTCATCATCGTCATCGTCATCCTCGGCGTTCCAGAGCACGTCATCGTCACTGCCATTCAATGAATTTGAAATGCAGCATTTCTTGAAAGATTTCACAATCATTGGTGCTTCGATGCTTTTCCAGGCAGCAGAAACCCAGTGTGCAACAATGTGCGGTGCAGCACGCTTAATTTTTCCTGTCGGGGTCAATACACGGTTTGGCTCACAAAACCATTTTTCGTACTCCGCCTGAACGTACCCCTTAAAAGGTTTATTTATACTAACGTCCAGGGGTTGTAACACAGACGTCATCCCTCCAGGAATGATAACAAGATCACTGCCTAGGCTGTGCATCTTCTTTTTTACGTCGTCGGTGAGATGACCACGAAATGCGTCCAGACAAAGCATTGATGGTGGATTAGAGAGCCCACCGGGACGGCGTTTCCATACATTTCGGAGCCAATCAAGCATTAATGATTCCGTCATCCACCCCTTCTCTTGGTTTCGAATCAGGACATCATCTGGGAACAGCTTTTCATTCTTAGGGGTTTTAGGGCATGTTTTCCGTTTGAAGATTAAGAAAGGGGGAAGTTTGCACCCGTCTGCTGTTATTGCCAGCATCACTGTTACGCGTTGTTTTTCACATCCCGAAGTTTTGATGATAACTTCCTTAGTCCCCTTCTCCGTAATGGTGTAGTTACGAGGCATATCAAACCAAATTGCCGTCTCGTCAGCGTTGCCAATTTGCCCCATTGAAAAATTCTTTTCCTTCCGAAGTGTGATGACATACCGCTGAAATGTTAGTAGTTTTCCCTCAAAATCTGCAGGAAGCTTTTGGCATATTGTTGTACGGCGTCTTAGAGATAAACCCATCCGCTTCATAAACCGATCCACCCATCCACGGCTAGCCTTAAACTCTTGTTTCGGTATTCCAAGAACTTCAGCCTCCTCTTTTGCTTTATTTCTTATGGTGTCACTAGTCACAGGTTGTCCATTCTTCCTCCTTTCACGTACAAATTCCAAAACTTTTTCTTCAATTTTAGGGTGTCTTCCTTTGCGAGGGCCAGTGAATTTCTTTCTACTAGCTTTAGTTGCAAACAGTGCCAATTTCTGTTGCCGCCACAAGCGAACATTGCTCTCAGCTACGTTGAACTCTCTCCCTGCCTTTCTATTGCCATTTTTTTTTTCAGCATAAAGAATTACTTTACGTTTGAAAGTAGCGTCATATGACATTCTTCTCTGTTTGCCCTCCATTTCGTGACTACGTACTCTGCAGTTTGTATCCTCTATGCAATAATGTGTCAACGATAAATGTAACGGTAAATGTAGTCGAGAAATTTGGTTGACGTCATCGGCGAACTTTGCACTCGAATCTAATGCGCACCCCAATTTTGAATACTACATTTGGCCAAAAACGATGCGCATTAGATTCGCGTAAATACGGTATATGGGGGCATTATTAATATTAGGGAAGTTGTAATTGGTCCTTCATGTAGACCAATACATTGTTAAGTCCTCATTTTGATATGTTTTTGAAATTGATCATGCCTGGTTCAGAGATTAAAAATTTGCCACTTCCACAGCTCTAGGTGAGTTATAGAGAACTGAAGTCTTCACTAAAGAACCACAGGCCTTTTTTCAAACCAATTATGTAACGTTTTGTCGATGTACATTGATGCTAGACTTAATGTATTTGTTAATACTAGAAAATTCAAAAAGAGATTAATAGTAGAAAATTCAAAAAGAGATTAATTTTAGAAAATTCAGAAAGAGAATGTAGTTTAGTTAAATCTTAATGAGCCTTCTCAAAGCAGTAAATGCCACAGTGGTTTGGAAAGAACAGTTTGGTTGTTATTAAAAAAAAAAAAAAAAAAAAAAAAAAAAAAAAAATTATCACTAAGGAGACCAGAAGAAAGTGCTGTAATGGTTGCCAAAAAAGGTATTATTTGATGCAGAATTTGAAAGTTTCTCTTTCTGAAATTAAACATAAGACCTTAATTTCTACTTAATTAGGTGAGTTATTGACCTGTCTTTGTAAATTAACTACAGTCTTGAAAAGATGTAAATAAACCTTTTTCTTAAAAATGTCAATTTAAGAGCTACTGAACCTGTGCATGCAAATTAAAAGTCTGCCACTTGTGGCTGATGGATACCAGAGCACTGAATTCACAAATTAAAGTAATTTGTAGCAAGAGACTGATAAAATGCCATAATATATGATAAGAAAATGGATTTAACGTAAAATAATCTCTTTAAATATATGAATACCTGTACTGAGGTTTATTGTGATTGGTGCTTATCCCATCCCAGTTTGACAGTATGCAACTTCAGGGTGGTCTGAAACCAATGATTGTCTGAAAGCAAAAATCTCCTAGAAATTATTTTAAAAATTTCCAAGATATGTTTTTTTGTCGAATAATACTTAAATGACTTGGATGTACCCCGATTAAAGAAATATTAATGGTGTTGGTGTATTTAATTATGGCAAAGCACACTAGGGCTATCTGCCTAAGGAGAGGGATGCCTTCGCGGAGGACTTTCTGAGGGAAGCTGGCTCGTATACACGAAATTTTAATGGTATTTAAAATAAATTCATAGAAGAAATCATGCGTCCAATTTGCAGACAGCAGTCTTTTGTGAATTGTAGCAGGAGCAACAGTTGTTAAAAATTTCTAGCTCGTGGGGGGGGGAAACATGTTCAGACTATCATTGATTATGTTATACCTCTGATATGTAGCTGGTTTAAACAGAAGATTTCTGTCAAGGGCAAACACATCAGATTTGACCTGTAATTTATATGCTAAATTCAAAAAGTTTTTTTAAGTCGAATAAGTATATAATTGGCCAAAAGCTATATCTTAGAAGTTCTTCAAATAATTTCAAGCATATTTTTGCCTTCGGTCAATCATTGGTTCCAGATTACCCTGAAATTGCATAGCTTCAGTGGGGTTGGAATGAGCACCATTTATAATAATTCATAGAGCATTGTTTTGAGCAATTACCATTTTAGAACAAGCATTGAACTTGAGTCGTATTCCAAACAGATGTCATATACCAAAGACTACTCAAATTGTTCCACAGTTGGTCACTGATTGCTTGAATGCTGTTATGGTAACACATAACTGAAGAAATTTTATTAAGTAGATTATGTATAGTATGAGTGCAGCTTAATTTTAAAAATTTTGTTTTCTTATCAAGTTAATACAATAAATACCTGTTAACTGATTCAGAAGTTAAACAACAAAATGCTATCTCCTGTTAACTGTGCAGCAGCTGGATTATTATCTGAATGTGGTTTATTTGTTCGGGTGGGGAAGAAGGAGATTCCTATTCTCTTTAAAGAATTTAATGCATTTTTGCTGTTTGCCATATGTAGAATACAAAGAAATGATAAAATAAATTTTAAATTTCAGGAGAAAGATTTGAATTCCTTAAAAAATCTAATTCTTTCAAAGAAGCCTCATGTTGTATGTGTTGCTGCAGAGTCAAGGTGTGTGATGTTTTTATTTTAAAAGTTTTTTAATGTATTTGTTTTTATGTTTTTAACATATTAATTACATGTTAAATATGTTGTTTTTACATTTTTACCATATTATTTGAAATTTAACTTATATAGGGAGGCTTTAATGATTGTTGATGATGTGAAAATGATCATTAATGACTTGATGGACAGTGATCAATTTCCTCCAATTTCTGTGGAATTAATGGATAATGAACTTGGAGTTTTGTATATGAATTCTAAAAAAGGGGAGGTATGTATGTTTTTTGTACGTGTATAATGTTTTACAATGAAATAGAACATTTAGAGATGTTGGAATAATATTAGCTGTTTGAAAATTAAGACTATTCCTTTAGATTTAGTGCTTCAATCAGTGCTTGATTATTAGTTTTAAGTTATCAGTAATTTAAGTTTGCTTCCTATTAATTTTCTTTCCCTTAAAATATTGCTGATACTGATTTAAATGGGGTGAAACTGAAATATTGTAAGCTCTCATAATTGAGATTTTGATTAAATCAAAATTATTTGAAAAATTCCATAGCACCTTTATTAATTATTTTGTCCTTTTGCAAGTTAAATAGCATCAAGTTTATGAAGTAAATGAAGTCACAATAATCAGTTTAGAATTACATATGCTAAATTTGTTTGTAATGAAATGAGAGGGGTTCTTTTTTTTTTTTTTTTTTTTTTTTTTTTTTTAATGTTTGTATAATATACAAGTATTTAGGAAGGGACGAGTTTTCTTGCTTCATGAATTTTCATTTTTTTTAGTATGACTTCAGAGATTACCCTCCACTTTTAAGGCAAGCAATCTCACTTGCACGTCGTTTGCAAGACCCACTCATGGAGTTTTCCCAAATGTGTACACCTGATGAAGAAATATTGTGTTTGAAATATCATCCATTACAGGTATAGATATTTATCTCTATGCAGTATGAAATTTTAAATTTTAGGACACCTTGAATGATAGTTCAAATTTATGTATAATCTAACTTTTTATTGCTGCTGCTTTAGTGTTCATAAATTAAAAAAAAATATGGAAAATTGCAGTAGCTTAAAAATATGTAATGAATTATAATTAAATTAGGTGATTACTTTTTTACATCATAATATATAATATTTATGAGTCATTTGATATAAAAATCCATACATAATATTTAATAATATCAAATTTAGTTATAGCTAAGCCTACTAAATCTAAGAGTAATGCTATCTTTTGTAAAGAATTTTTGTGTGAAAACTGGCCTGTATTATAATACACAAGGGGGCATGCAGTGAACTTCCAATAGTTTTGTGATTTTAATCAGACTACTGTTGGGCACTTAATGGCATTGAAAAATGGTATATAGTATCTGCTTTTAAAAGGTTGTGATTTTATGCACGTTATTATTTTCACTCTCATATTTATTAATGAAAACTTATTAGTTATATAACTAATAAAGAAATCAGATTTGCAGAAAACTCATGGAAAAATGACTAAGAAATCATTATATTAATGCTAGGAAATTCACAGTAGATCCAAATCAACAAGGCACCTGAAGTTATGTGTAGCTAAATTTTGAGTGGATTCCAAGAATTCTCAAAGCATCAGGAATGAGTCTGAAGCTTCTCAAATTTGAAGTTCCAAATAATGGCCAAGTATTGTCTGTTAGAAGACACAAAATTTAATCTGGCAAATTTTGAATAATTTCTAAATTTCTGTTATTGATTCTACTCTTTTTTTTATTCTTAATTTCGTACAATTTTTATTTATTTTATTTTATTGAAGTAGCTGGGAAGGCCCAGGGAATAAAACTGTATAGAGCACAGATAGGAACTGCTGCCAGGAAGCACATTCTTATTAAGATTAAAGACATGATTCAAAAGCTATTTCTCTGCGACGTGTTGAGAGACTAAGGAAGAGGCTGTGTTTGTAAGGGAAGCTGCCTCATATCCACGTTACACATGGGAAAAACCACAAAATTGCCGATGCAGCTCAACTGTTCGCCTGGAATCTAACGACCAGTGTTTAGTGATCTCCTCAGCAACTGGTGCTTGCACATTATCGTTAGCCTACTCATTAGCCATAAATTTTTTCCCTCATAAAATATTTTTAACCATAGAGATCAAAGTGGTGTCATTCTGTTCATTAGTTAAAATTATGTTTGGTTGTTCATTGCACAGCACTGTTGTGAACCTTCTATTCCAGTATGTTGAATTACAATTAAAACTGGAATAGTGGAATTTACTATCATTACTACTGAAAAGTTCAAACATGTATATGTTTATCCAATGAATCATGGTTATGCTGAATTCTTTATAGAATGAAATATGAAAATTCCTATTCATATTGAAATATATTTCTTATTTATGCACTTCAGAATTATTTTAAAATACTTTTAAAGCCATTACAGATTTTCATTCTGTTACTTAATTTAGGTAAATTAGTGTATTTGAGTGTATATAGTACTTGTATGTGTATTTGAGTGTATATAGTACTTATATGTGTATTTGAGTGTATATAGTATATTTGTTAAAGACTTCTTTTACCTGTTACTTCGCTTGCGTTGATGTCCTTAAATAAGTTTCAACTCCAAACAACACAAAAATCATTTCCCAGTGTCCTTGCTGTATCATACAATGTTTCAAATATTGCCAACCATTTCTCACAGTGCGAAGGGAAAAGAAAGATAATAATAATGATTCTTATCACTCTGTTTTTAAATAAAATTCTTAAATGTTTTATACTTTTCTGTTTTTGCTGGATTATTAGTCGCTGAAATTTTCTGACTGTTTTCATCTTATGAATAAAATCTTTTATTAGTAATGAGTTTATTTTATGCATTGTGAATTTACTTGTGTTTTGAATAAATTGCTGTATTACAATTAATCTTACAAACTAACTGACATAGTTTAATTATTATTTCACTTAATAAATATTTAAGTTATGTGTGTTCTTTATTTTAAATAATAAATGTATTAAAAATCTTAATTCATATGAAACTGATATGCATAATTTGCAATTTTAGGATGAATTAAATAAAGAAGATTTGTTGAATGCACTGTATTTAGAATTTGTAAACAGGACTAATGAAGTTGGTGTAGATTTTAATAAAGCTGTTGAGTTTAATCACACAGCAAATTTGGTGCAATTTATCTGTGGTCTTGGCCCTAGAAAAGGTGGATTTTTAGTTAAAGTAAGTACATTTTGGAATAATTTTTAGTAACCCATGAAAATAGCATCATTTATAATATTTTAAAATTAGTTATGTATTACATTAATAGGTTATGTTATTTTATGAATAGGTTAGATTAGGTTATTTCCATTGTGATATATACCTAGTTTTTTTTTTCAACCTCCAATCCCACAGTATGATGGCCAGGTATGCGGCAGGTGGTTGGTGTGTGTAGTAGGCGACTGCGCATCTCCCCCTCCACACGCTCTGTTACTGGCGTATTCAACACTCCATTTTCTGTTGAGTTGCAGTCACGTAAACACGGCTGTCGCTATTGATTGTCCCGCCAAGTGTGAATTGCGAGCTGTTATTCATTTCTTGCTGGCAGAAGGGAACAGTGCAGCGGAAATTCATCGAAGAATGAGTCGAGTGTATGGAAACAGCTTTATGAGTGATGGCGTTGCTTGTGAATGGTGTCGAAAGTTTAAAAATGGCCGAACTGATGTCTATGATGAAGGGGGTCAAGGATGCAAGTCTGTCGCTACAGACGACATTGTTCAACGAGTTGACCAAGCGGTTAAGCAAAATTGAAGGTTCACTATAAGTGAATTATTGATGAAATTTCCGGAAGTTTCAAGATCTTCCGTGTACTCTATCGTTACTGAACAGTTGCGCTACAGAAAAGTTTGCGCTCGCTGTGTCCCACAGATGTTGACTGATGACTACAAAACTCGCTGAATGGTTGCAGCGTTTGAATTTCTTGACCATTACAATACTGACGGAGAAGAGTTTTTGAAATCCATTGTGACAGGTTATGAGATATGGGTTCAGTATGACACGCCCGAAACGAAATGACAATCACAACTGTGGATGCACACAAATTCTCCAAAGAGACCCACAAAATTCAAATGAATCTTTAACAACCGTAAGGTTATGGCAACTTTTTTTGGGACCAAAAAGGTGTGTTGCTTGTGGAGTTTATGCTGCCAAAACAACAATTAATGCAGATTCATATTGTGAAACTTTGCAACGCTTACGGAGAGCTATTCAAAACAAATGAAGAGGCATGCTGACTTCTGGAATTGTTCTGATCCACGACAATGCCCGTCCTCACAGCGCTCGAGTAACCCAACGGCTCTTTCAGCAATTTCAATGGGACATTTTCGAACATCCACCATATAGTCTCGACCTAGCGCCGAGTGACTTTCCTCTGTTCCCTGAACTGAAGCAATGGCTTGGCAGGAAGAGCTTCCAAAATGACGTGGAGCTGAAAGAAACTGTCACAACTCACTTCCAATCATTGACGGGGACATTTTGTGAAGAGGGTATTGCAAAGCTTGTGCAATGATATGACAAATGCCTCAATCGTCAAGGTGATTATGTAGAGAAGTAACCTGTATTGTACATTACTTTTGGTAATAAAATCTTTTTTGTATATTGACCTGTTTTTTCTTTATAGCCCATCGGAGGTTAAAAAAAAATAGCCCTCATATTATGCTTAAAATATTTACAGTTAAACTTTTACCTGAAAAACAAATTACTCTGTAAAAAAAATTATTTTGTTTATTACATTTTTTTCATTCTTAAAAGATATCAATATTTTTCAATATATGTTTTTAAAATCACTTAACTGATATATAGAATGCTATCTTTGCTGCCCAGACTGTATAGTGGGTAAGAGAGCTTGCAGCGGCACTGAAGGGCCTGGGTTCGAATCCTGGAGAACGCTCAGTTTAAACTGTCAGTTCCTTCATGAGGAGGTGACCGGTGGCCACTTGTTAGATGCCTCCATAATAAAATGGCCACCACTTCTGGCCTTTGGAGTCGCCAATTCTGAATAGGCAAGTGCCTGACAATGGATGTTAAAAAAAAAAAAAAAAAATCTTTCTCCATGTTTCTATTCCATTTCTTTTTGTAAATAAGTAAAGCATCATCATACCATGTAGCATTATGCAGTATAAATTGAACAACTGTTGTCATGCTACTTATCTCTTTTTGATATCTTTTTCATTGCTTCTTGGAATCAAATGATTAAATCTCAGCTCTTGAAGGATCAGCCAACATATTGATTTTTTTTTTAATTGCTGCTTTGTTGAATGATATTTTTAACTTATTTTATTATCATATAATATGAGCACTGAATTTTTTATTGTCAAAAACTGTCATTGAATCATGTTTTTGTTAAAAAAGTTTTTAAATTTGAGATTTATTAAAGACTAGTTTTACCCGTGGCTTTGCTTGTGTTGATGTCCTTAAATAAGTTTCAACTCCACGTGAATTTTAAAAATACACTCCGTAAAATTTCAGTAAATCCTGCCCTTCAATACCTATAGGCCGCGGATATATTGCATTTATGCCTGACCAAGGGGTTGTTTTTAAAAATAAAGAACATTCAAGCGCCTTAAAATGTTAAAACGATAGTTCTTATTGCACAAAGTAAAATGTAAATGCAATTTTAAGCAACAATAACAGAAATATATAACATGAATGAAAAGATCTGTAAAAAAATATGAAACAAAACATTAAATATATCACAAAAGCCGAAATGTTGATAATAGTTTCAAGTCAGTGAGTTAATTAGAAGTCAAGTTATTAATTTTTAAATAATTTTCCACGTGTAAATCCCTGAACTTCGACCTTTTCGCCAACCCAACGGTGGACGGGATACCAGCTACCTCTCCTCCATCACTTTCAAATCACAGCATGTCAACAAAGAATTATCAATAGCAAGTGGAGTACTGTTTCATCTGGGATTAAGCTGTAAATAATTAAGTGACAAAAACAGTTCCACCACCATTGTTCCGATCATTCAGGGTGCGACACAAGTTTCTAAATTTCAAGAAATTTGGATAATTAGATCAAAAGTTATAATTTTTATCACCAATTTAGTGGACCCACATGGGAAGACCTAAGAAAAAATCTTTAATGTCACTATCGAGTCTCGTTCAAATTAACGTTTTCAGAGTTTTTAATTAATATCTCAGCTGATTAAAGTCGTCACAAAGATGAGAATGGTATTGGATTCCAACGAATTTTTGGAATCGGGGGATATGTGTCTCAAAATTCAACCAACCGCCGTTCTATAGATATTTGGTGAAAAATTAATTGGCACATAGCCGAATGGGCAGACCCAGCAAAGTAAGTGAAAAGTAGTTTTTAATTAATATCTTGACTAATTCACATGAAGACATTTTGTAGCATATAATTTTTTCTAATATATCAAAAATATTTCTTGAAAATTTCATGATGATCGGTTAAGTAATTAAGGTGTGAAAGCATAACAAACAAACTTACATCCGCATTTTGCTTACCTCTTCCAGAAATTCTTCTTTTAGTTAAGTATTATAACAACAGTTATTTTAAGCTAGATAATAGCAGAAACTGAAATTAGCAACCTCTCAGCTGTGCACTGCACAATTTTTGCACTGTCAAAACTAGTAATATTGTGTCTTTGTTACTACTTCAGTATTTTAAAGTTCAGGTGAATTCAGGACATCTATTTAACTGGTCAAGCATATCACATTTCCATCGTATTTAGGATGAGTTATACAGCTGTATTGCAGTGTTTATATATATATATTTTAATTTGGAATCTTTATAGGTTTTTTTGTTTTAAACTAAGGCTGTAACTGTAGAATGCCTATTTATAGTCAGGATTGATCATTGAAATCAATAATCAGCTTCTCATAATTTCTTTTTAATGATTTCGAACTTCTGATAGTTTTGTACTCAAGTATTACCAGTGGGTGAGCACAGTTTGATACACTGATAAGAAACGGTGGGATTTATAGTACTTTTTCTGTCATGATTTGCTTCCAGAAACTGTTGTTCCAGAAACATGTATAATGTAGCATTTGGATGCAACCTAATTTTTAAAATAGCTCATAGTTGCAAAACATGATAGAATATTTTGTTCAGGTGATTATATGAAGATAAACAAATGTTCAATTAATTTTTACCCTTATTTATGTTTTCTTTTTAGACTCTAAAAATATGTAATAAGCAGTTAGAAAGTAGAACACAACTAGTAACTGTTTGTAAGATGGGACCAAAAGTTTTCATTAACTGTGCTGGTTTTATAAAGATTGATACTGCTTCCCTTGGTGAAAGGTATGACTGTTTCTTTGGCATATATGTAAAATTATAATTTTGATATTTATATATTCATTTTGTAATATTTTTTATGCTTCAATTATTTTGTCATTATTAATATAATATCACATTTCTCTCTCTCTCTCTCTCTTTTTTTAAGTGATTTGATCAGAATAGTTTAATCTTTATTTAAAGAAAGTTAACTGAATAGTCTTCATGAATTAATTCAAATTAAATTAGTTTTAAAATGTTCTTAAATTGTGTCAGTTAACATTGCAGGCTTTAGGTTTTTTTTTTTTTTTTTTTTTTTTAATAGAAGAACAAGCATTCTGGTTACTAAATGTTACACCTTTTAAAAATTAAAAACAACAACAACAAAAAAAAAAAAAAAAAAAAAAAAAAAAAAAAAAAAAATACATATTTTTAATATGTATGTTCTTTGGAAGAAGATGCATTTCTAGAAATTGTTAAATACTTGAAACAAATGCAGGAGTATAATTATAATGTGTGTGTGTATTGCAATAAAAATTTAAATATTAATAAATTATTTTACAGTACTCAGACATATCTTGAAGTTTTGGATGGATCTCGTGTTCATCCAGAAGCTTACGAATGGGCCCGAAAAATGGCTGTAGATGCTCTTGAATATGATGATACTTCTGATGATGCTAATCCTGCTGGAGCTTTGGATGAAATTTTAGAAAATCCTGAAAAGTTAAAGGTAAAATTTTCTATAATAATAAAACTGTTAAATTTTTTTATCTAAATGATGTAAATGAGTTTTGAAGTAAATATGTAATATTGACATAATTAGTTGAAAATTTTAACTGATAATGTAGATTTCTAGCTTTTCATTTAACTAGTAAGTTCAAATAAGTCTCTGCTGTTTTTTTTTTGTCCAAAAATACGTATTAATTGTGAAAGAATGGTGCCTTATATTTTATTCAAAGTACTGTCCATTGGCAGTGTACAGTTACTGCATTGGAAAAATGCCTATCTTTTGAGGCTATCCATGAATTGACCCAATGTTTGGTATCTTCATATGATGCGAAGCACTGCTTACTTCATATGATGCGAAGCACTGCTTACTTCATATGATGCGAAGCACTGCTTAGACAGGCCATGCATCATCGATTGAAACAAGTAACATTCAGAAAGAATAATGTCTGGTGAATATAGCGGGATTGGGAAAACTTCCCATTTGAATGTTTCCAAGTAGATTTTGACTGGCACTGCAACATATGAACAAGGACTGGAAAATAATTTTTTCATGTCTGTAGTAGTAGTGGGCAAGTTTTTCCTTGAGTGCTTGGCTCGTTCTTATCAGTTGTGTTCACCAGAGGACCCTGGCAATAATTTTATTCTGTTTGAGCAACTCATAATACATTACACCAAGCTGATCCCACCTATACATAACATGATCTTTTCCCATGAATATTCAGCTGGGGGTGTCGATGTTGAAGCATGGCCAGGTGGTTCCCATGATTTGTTTGGGTTATCGTAGTGGATCTATTTTTCATCAGCAATGACTAATTTTATGTAAAAAAAAACTTTTGTTTATTCATAGGAAGCAGCATTTCACATGTAAAACATTGGTGTTCAAAATTTTTCAGTTTCATTTCATATAAAACCGAATTTCCTTGCTTTTTATTCATTCCAATGATTTAAACAACGTGAAATTACTTGTTGAGTCATTCCTAGTGTAAGTGCAAGTTCTACTTGCATTTGGTACTAATCTTCATCCAGTCTTGCTTCCAGTTCCACCACATCTTTGTTCCTTTTTGTCTTTGCCATCAGTTTCACCATTTTTAAACTTTTGAAACCATTCTCGCAACTTTTCTCACTTAAAGCACCATATGTTTCTTCAAGCAGTTGATGCACCTCAACTGCAGATTTCTTCAAATTAAAGAAGTAAATCAAAAGTTCCCACCTGGCTCAAAACTTGACGTTTGCTCAAAAAAGTATATAATGCCGATACAAAATTGCTAATATTTTAAGGTTATGTTGTTAACAGATGTTCAACCTTACGATATGACAGTTTATGTAAGACAAATTTAACCATATTTTTTTTTAAATGAAACAAAAATTTATTTAAAAGTTAGGAAAATCCTGTAGTACTTTTAAAAAGACATATTTTTATAATTTCATAGGAAATTTCATAGTTGATGAATATGGGAAGTAGTTGAGTAATTTGATAAGGCATTTAGTTAAAGAGCATCTAGATGTGGTTCAGATATCTTTTTATTTATTTAAAACTATTTTTCCCATTTTCTGCAACTTAAGATTTTAGTCAGATTTCTGTTTGCGAACAATTTGTTGATTTATCTATAATAACTGAAAACTTTAATTTTTCATATGAGTTTTAAGGTACAACGAAACATTTTGTGAATGCATTTAACTTTCACATTTGAGAATGTCTATTAGTCACTATTATGATTGTTGAAACTGAATGCTTACTAAAGAATGTACACTGCGTAAAAAAAAGTGACAATTCTATATCTCCCATTCTAACTGGGCCGATTGACAAAATTCAAATTGCGTTTTTCATGTCTCGAAAGTGCGACTTAGGATATATATTAGATTTATATAAAGCCTGGCATAGGTATTTTGACACAAAATCAGTCTTTTTCTCAAATAACATCCAATTATTTCCATATTTCAATTCTACGACTCAAATTATGCCTAGATATTAAATTTTGTAAAATTTCATGTGAAATTTACAGACAAATTCAAAAATTTATCTTGCACAATTTTTTTCAGTTTGTGCCAGGAATAATTCACTTGGTGAACTTCTTAATATATGGCAACCAATTTTCCATTCCCTTCCATTATGCCAGAGTGGGAAAAAATGCACCTTGTTCCTAACTTTTTACATTGTGCATGAGCGGAAGAAAAGTCACTTTGTTCCTACTTTCAAATATATTTAGCAAAGTGTCTAAACCACATGTGACGTTTTATCGCTTTCAACAAATGTGCCAAATTTCAAAACTCGCCAATATATAAATTCACGTATGTCTTCGGAAATTTTGAATAAAAAACTGTAATATTTTGTACGTATGCTTAGAAATATGCCTACCTTTAAGATGATGGTAAAAATTTTATAGATTACAGTCAAAAGTCTTTAATCCGGACGTCCATAATCCGGAATGATCTATAATCCTATATATAAGCTACAAACTTTCTGCACATGTGTCAACGCATAATGCGCTGATGCATGCGCATACGCATTTACGCAATCGCATATGTGTTTACGCATGCGCATAATACGTTTACGCATGCGTGTTTAATGTTTAACGGACGGTATAAGGTAAGCCAAAATTATCTAATTATCTATTTCAGTTCATGTTGCAGATTGTGTTGTTCCTTAATCTTCTGATTGGATCCGGCTTATTATTTTTTTCAGATAGTTAGAACAATTTTATAAAAGTAAGCTTGAACTTTATGTAAAAAAGAATTTCCAATTCTGGAGCTGCCAAGGGATGTACAAAGCGAAAGCATGTTTCGATGTCCATCAAACAAAAAGTGGAATTGCTCCAAAAAATGGATAAAGGCATATCCTTTGTTTCTTTAACCATTCCAAAATCTGTTTATCAATTTCACGTTCCTCTGTTGCTCTGGGGAGGGGGTTGTCGTAGCACGCAGTGAACTGGAAGTTGATCTGTCAGCACTATCCTTATCTTCAGGGCAGATGTTTTTATTTTATTCGGTTTATAATTCCTTACTAAATGTAGTATTTCATCTCGATGTACTCTGTCTTTGATATGATTTAAATCAAATTCCTCGTCATTATAAATATCACGAATACACATCATATAGTTTTTTGGTTGCAGTTTTCTAATTTCGACTATGCGTATTGTATGCTTTACGCATGCGTGCGTTGAAAGAAATGTTTAATAAAGTAAACAAATAAATATTAAGCTTTTTTTTTGTAAATTTTAATACCTTTTAGATCATAATTACTCTTTATTTCATAAATTACAGTTTCATATTTTTAATTTTATAATTTCTGCATGCCATCTTACCAGATTTAAATTGATGATCTATAATCCGGAAAAACCGATAATCTGGAATCGTCGAAGTCCCGACGAGTGCGGATTAAAGACTTTTGACTGTATAGTTCAAAATCTTTTTGAAAAATTTATAAAAATTATTCAAAAAGACAAATCTTAAAAATAAATCATGAAAAATGGGTGAATTTTATCTGGAATGAACCTGAATTTCAAAATGTGAAAGGAAGAATCAAATAAGTGTAATAAAAAAAGAGAGATTAATAAATATGTACCAAACTCGATTAATACTGAGGACATAAATTTTGAGAGCTAATTTTTAAAAAAGTACTTGTGCGATTTTTACAAAACTTGGTAGTTTGTTGTAATTTGAGTCGTACAATTGAAATATGGAAAAAAAATTGTATGTTATTTCAGGAAAAAGTCCAATTTTATGTGAAAATACCTATATTAGAACAATGCTATTTATAAATCCAGTACATATCCTAAGTCAGGCTTTCAAGACATGAAAAACGCAATTTGAATTTCGTCAATTGGCCCAGTAGAACGGGAGATATAGAACTGTCCCCCCTTTTTTCGCACAGTGTACATGAAATCATCTCTTATCATTTAAAAATGATAAAAATTTAAGATTTGTTAGATCAGACTTATATAGAAATCAATTGAATTAAGAAATGATTTTTTTTATTCTGTTTAGTGAAATATGTATCTGTATAAGTTTTTACTGTATTTTTAGCAAGATAAGTTAATTATGTTTTAAGAAATGTAACATAATGTAATAATTATTTATACAGATGCTGTTCGCACATTTTTTAGACGATTTTGGTAAGCGGTAATAAAAAATCGTTTGCTGCAAAAGAAGTAATTGCAATTGTACTATGTTTTTAAAAGTCAAAGTTATCGTCTGTGGCTTTAAAGTTTTGTTTTTATTCAAAATGGCGAATTTAACAAAGCAGCGGTTCGAAGGCTACATTTACGCTCTTTCCGAAGAGAAATATGTATACTTCGTTATCCAAAAGCGATGTGAGAGTCATGGTTTTGTGATATCTAAAGCGTCGATAGGTAATATCATCAACAAGAAAGGAAAAAAACGTCAAATTGGAGCCTCAAGTGGGACAAAAATTCCAAACAAGTATCCAAGGAAAAAACGGACATCTTCGACTATTGCAAAGGAACGTTGTTTAATGTTAAAAAAAAATCCCCCTAGTCAAAGGACAGTTGCAAAATCATTAAAGTGCTCGGTGTCCACTGTAAAGGAAATGATAAACGTTGATTTAAATCTTAAGAAAGCGAAAAAACGCAATGTGCATCGTCTTCTTCCAAAGCATATCGCTCAACGCTGGACACGCTGCAGAATTCTATATGAGAAACACTTATCCAAAGAAAAATGGAAAACAATTGTCTCAATAGATGAAGTATGGATGTATTTAAATGATTGTAATAAAAAAAGAGCCATTTATTATCATAAAAGGGGAGAAAAAATTTGAAGTACATGTTTGAAAGAATCAAAAGAAAGTTTTTCTAAGGGATTCATGATTGTTGCTGGTTTTTCTTATAATGGCAAGTTAAAAATAAAAGTTCAAAAAAATGTCAAGATTAACTCCAAATACTATCAGGAACATATTTTATCGCCAATTTTTCTGAATGAAATACCATCGCTTTACCCTCCGTGCCATCAATCTGTGAGACTCAATCAGGACAAAGCTAGCAGTCACACATCAAAATCCACTATAAATTTCTTAAAAGAAATGGAACAAAAACTGGTATCAAGGCCATACCCTTCACTGATATCCCTACTAAATCTCCCGATGTGTCACCTATGGATTTTTGTGCTTTCAGACTTTTAAAAACTGCATTATCCAAACGTTGTCCCAAAACCCTAACAGGACTCTGGAAAGCTGTTCGGGAGGAATGGGATAGAATACCTCTTCTGCCACTTCAAAAGGCATTATTTTCCTGGAAATTGCAGTGTCAAAAGATAGTTCAGAATAAGGGATGTCAAATAGAACATTTAAAACACAAGAACTTTATGTAATTTAGTTTTGTGAATACAATATACATCGTCTAAAAAATGTGTGAACGGACTCTGTAGCTGTGTTGGAACTATTTTTATATTTTTGTTTTTATATAAAATATAACAACAATAGTTAGGAAGTACATTATTAATTTCTTTATTGTTAAAAACTTTTTATTGTTTTCTGCAAGGCATTCCGAATAGATTAGAAAAAGTATTATTATCTTGCTGAAATACTGATATTTGATAAGCATGCCAGAGTTTATTGTTTTGTAAAATCATATATCATTCATACAGATTTCATGTGTAGCACTTATTTTATTATTATTATTATTATTATTATTATTATTATTTTTTTTAAAGGATTTGGATTTAGATGCTTTTGCAGAAGAATTGGAAAGGCAAGGTTATGGAAATAAAAGTATTACTTTGTATGACATCAGAGCAGAACTGAATCATAAATATAAAGATTTAAGGACACCATACAGACCACCAAAATACTGAAGAAGTGTTCAATATGTTAACAAAAGAAGTTCCAGAAACATTTTACATAGGTATAAATTAGTGTTTTATAGAATATATTTTTCTTTTTAATTATTTTTTTATTAATTATTTTAAATTTGCAGGTAAACTTATTCTGGTGGTTGTTACTGGTATTGCCCGTAGAAAGCCTAAAAATGATCAACTTGAAAATGCAAATCCAATTCGAAATGATGACAGTGGTCTGTGGCAATGTCCGTTTTGCTTGAAAAAAGACTTTCCAGAGCTCAGTGATGTATGCTTTTCAGATTTTTACCATATGCTTTGATTTATAGTAATCCTAGAAAGAGATGTTGTAAATATTTGTAATTTAGGTTATATGTACTTTTTACTGTTTTTATTTATTTAGTGCATTATGTATAATTTTAAATTGGTATCATAAACCTCTTGGGTATCTGTTTTATATATTATGTTATGTTTTGTGTATGTGGATCTTTTAATTTTGAATCATTTTACATTTGAATTGCAAGTATTGTTCTCGTAAAACTTGAAATATAAGCAAAAATTTTTCTGTTCGAGTTGGCTGCATTTAGCAATTTTTTGTCAATTAACATTTTAAAAATTCTCAGAAAATGCATTTTCAGAATTTTAGAATCACTGTATCAAGCTCTTGCTTGGTAACTATTATTTTAGACTTTGCTCTATCTGTAATTTTAGTGATCTGCAATATTGTGTACATATCAGGGAGAGTTTAATTTATATCTCTTTTTTCTCCTCTTTCTTTGTGGGCTATATTTATAGCTGTTTATCTTGTATTATTCCGGCAAATAATGCACACATTTAATACAAAAAATAAGACCGACATTTATGTTTGCGCATCATACGCTGTATATAAAAATGATGCATTTCTAAATAAGGAAATGAAGAGCATGCGGACATTAGATTTCTATGTGTGCTTAATGCTGCTTGTTTAAAAGAAATAGCACAGCTTATGAACTTCAAAATTTTCATTATCGAAATATTTTTAATTATAGGATAGTAAAGCATATTAATTATTGTGCTTTCATTCATTCAGAGAAAACATCTGACTTCAAATTCCTTGTTTTCGAGTCAGAAGTGCATTCTTACCCGAAATTATGTTTCTCTTTACTCGAAACTCTAGAATAACAGTCTTGTGCACATCTGCATTGAATACGACCTTTGCAGAATTATTTATTCCATCAAGCATTTTCCCCACACACATATTGTTCTGTTTATCGCTTTCATTTCAGTCATTCAGTCATCGCTCTGAGGAAAATCTTCTTGCATATGTATCTCTCAGGTCTTAAAAAAAAGTAGGGTGCATGCTATACAGTGAACATACCTCTGAATTTAAAAATGTAGTTTGAAATTATTAGGTGCACGTTATACATCAGTATATATGGTATTTAAGTTCCAATTTCTTCCTTTTCATCTGGCATACTTATTAAGGAAATCTGTGTAAACTCGTCAACACTATCACACAAGTATTATTAGTTGTTTTTTACAATATAAATAAAACAAGCACAATTTCATTTAAATTATAAAAAAGTGTACCTATAGTATCTATGAGAAAAGAGAAAAAATGCAATAATGTCATTCATGGAAAAATGTTACTTCCTCCCTTATTTATTAATTTTTATTATTATTTTAAAAGTTGTCACGATAGTATTAAAGTAGTAAAAGCAAATCATTATAATGAAAAAGCAGCAATGAATAAATTGGTATAAGGTAAATAAAATATGCCAGGTAAGGGTCTAGCCATTTGTGTTTTTTTTTTTTTTTTTTTTTTTTTTTTTTTTTTTTTTTTTTTTTTTGCTGCCATTTAAGAATGTTCAACCAGACATTTTACATTTCTTTCCATGTTTTATTTGTATTGAACCAGTTCGTACTCTTGAAATTTATACTCTGTTGAACTGAATTCATTTGACATGTTTTATTTTGGAAACCACAATTATTTCAGAGGGACTTATTTCTTGTAATAGGAAATCACTTTACATCAGATAATAATTTTATTGCTAAATTTTCTGCAAAACATTATGCATTGCAGATATGATCTGTAAAACAAAACTGTTTCTGAAATTGCTTATTAAAACTAATGTAATGGAAAATTACCTAAACACAGAAATTACTTTTTTGTATGGTATGTATTTTTAAAAATTTTTATTAGTAATAAATGATTTTATTAGTAATATTTGATGTGTCTGTCATAATTGAAAAGCATATTAATTATTTTTACTTATTCAAATAGTAGCTGTGTTTTTAAATGTTTTTAAAATATGAATAATGTTTGCATATTTTAATTTGTGAGCAATCAGTTACTGCTTTATTAACTTCAGTTATTTTAATGACACACACTTGTTTATAATGAAAATGTTTGAAAATAAAATTTTCAAATAAAATTTGAAAGACAAATAGTAATTTAATAATGAAAATCACTATATTAAAAGAGATGGTAATACTTTAGTTTGTAATGTATTCAAAGGGGGGGGGGAAACGAGACATATCAGTACTATTTATTTTTTCATATATATATATATACACACACACACACAAATATACATGCGAGTATATAAGTACGAGTATATACTTTTTATAATATTTTCAGGTCTGGAGTCATTTTGATGATGCAAGTTGTCCAGGACAAGCAATGGGTGTACGTGTTAGACTTGATAATGGGATTTCCGGGTTCATACCAACTAAAATGATCAGCGACAAGCATGTTATAAATCCTGAAGATCGAGTTAAAGTGAGTCTTTGATAATTTCAAATGAACTTTGATTTTAAATTACTCAAATTATACTTTTTTTTTAATGTAAAATTTTTACGATATATCAGGTATTCATAGAGAATGTGCTTGATAATCATGTTACAGAAAATTTATGAGAAAATCATGATTACTGATTCTTGAAATTTTTTGTCCTTTGTATTTCAGGATATATGATTCTGAAGAAAATTTTCTAACTAGATAAATTTTTCATTTCTAATTCTTATTTTTTCCCCTTCATTGCTTCCCAGAGTGCTGCAATGAATAAATTGGTAATGAATAATCAATAAATGAATAATCCACATAAATTTCACCTTTGAGTTATTTTTTCTTTTACTAATAATTCATTCATTTTACTTCTTAAAACCCTATTCTGGATATGAATTTTGACAACTTTAATTTACAATATTTATATAAAACCATTTTGCAATTTCAAATGATTGGAAGAATTTAGCATTTGTTCCATTTTTTCCTTTGATGAAGTCACAAAATTGCATGTATTTTCTCAGATGATACCTGTATCTTTTTTCCTTATGCTATTCAAATTAGTAGTTCAAGTCCTCATCCAGTAGTGTTAATAGGTTATGTAAGGTGAGCTTTTGCAATAAAGAGTATGAACTTATGTTCAGAGAAAACTAATTCATAAATCATTTTTTACATGCCCTGTATTTATTTACATATCTTGGCTAATTAGATTTGTGAGCTTTATTATATGAAGTGTGTGCAAGCATCAGTATTTTTTAATCTTGAATTTGCTTATTGTTTGATTATGCTTTAAAAGTGTAATTATTTTTTTGGTTATATGTTTGTTTGTTATAGATTGGATTGACTCTTCATGCCAGAATAACCAAAATTGATATTGAAAGATTTGCTGTAGATTTGACTTGCAGGTCATCTGATCTCAGTGATAAGAATAATGAATGGAGGTAATGTACATTTAAATTTAAAATCTGAGAATACGAAATAATTATCTTCGTATTTATCTTGAAATTTAATGTATTGTTCATGGGTTTTTATACATTAATGACATTGATAACATTTGGTAAGTATATAATTTTTTCTTTTTATATTTTTTACACAGACCTCCCAAAGATTTATATTATGATTATGAGGCAGAAGAGAAGGATCATAAGATAGAAGATGCTGCTGCAAAGCAACAAAATCGGCAAGGTAGAAGATGCATTGTGGTTATACCTAACAATCTTTTTAAATAATTTTAAACATATTCATTTTTCTAAAAATTGTGAGTGTGAATTCTTACCCATATATTTTCATTGCAAAGAAATTTTTTCTTCTGTAAAGGAATCAGGTTTTAAAAGTAGTTTTTATAACAATAATATGTATTTGATATTTTATGGGCACACTGCAAGAAAGAATGAGAGTAGTAGTGTGTGGACCTTGTTCTTAAAGAATAAGAAGTTTTGTTTGATTGGTAGAAGTTGATATGTTTTTAAATTTACTTTGTCTGTTTTTACTCTCTGTTATCGTATAAAAAATATGAGCATAAGAAATGGCACTAATAAATTGAAATTTCTGTTATGAATATTTATAAACTTTCAAAATTACCAATGTATTAATAAAAACTTATTAGTGAAGATTGCTGTGTTATAACAATGTAAGTTTTACATTAAATCAAAAAGACCTCATGTATTATGTTATATTTGTACAATTATGCGTCTGCAAATACAATGCTTTTACTAAAACTCTGCTATTGAATTCTAAACTACTTTTTTTTTTTTTACTTTTGTAAAATCTGAAAATGTTTAATTTCATTTTTTCTTTCCTTTTTTATGTCATATTGTGTAAGTTGAGCTGATTTAAGTTTGATATTAACATCGAGTCTTTAAAAATAGGCCTTTTGGTTGAAATATGTAAAGAATAAAAATGTTGAATGCTGCATTGCTGAGCAGTTTTATACGTGTTATGCATATGTATCTTTCTGTGTGGCTGAAATGACTAATTAAATTTTAAAAGTATACTCTCTTCCTGTCTCTCTCTCTCTCTTTTTTTCTGAGCAATTTAGTGGCTGTCTTTACAGATATTTTTGGTTTTGCTTTAATAATTTTTTTTAAAAAATTAAATAATCTCTGTATATTTTAAGCTTAAGTAAAATATGCTTATGTACATTTATTATATTAATCTTTTAATGAACTTTTTGAATCGTTCTATTAGTGTATTTGAAGAGGGTTATTGTCCATCCTTCATTTAAAAATGTAAGCTTTAAAGAAGCTGAAAAAATACTTGATACAATGGAACAAGGAGAAGTGATCATTCGACCAAGTAGTAAGGTATTATCTTTTGTTTCCTTCTAATACAGCTTTATTATCAGCCTGTTTTCTGTCTTTGACATAAAACTTGAAATTTTAAATTTATCTATAAGAATGCATTTTTATTTATTTCCTTAAATTTATAGGGTAGCAATCATTTGACAGTGACGTGGAAAGTTGCTGATGGTATAAACCAACACATAGATGTAAGGGAAGAAGGAAAGGAAAATGAATTCAGTCTTGGTCATTCTTTAATTATAGGTGATGAGGTAAGTGATTTTTTTTATTTATTAGTATAAAAGATTATTCTCTAACAAGTGTCTATGTTAATTATACTTAGTGTAATAGAATGAATGGTCGTATGGAATATGAAATGGAATATCGATAAAAACATGGAAAAGAAAAGTCATTTTAATTGCAGACATTTACAAGAAATAGTGTTAGATGTGTACAAGAATTGTTCACACGAATGACCAAAAATTGCAGTATATGCATCACAGTGATGATAGATGGCATTTATGGGTTGCAGATTGACTCTCATGAAGACCTTGGCTTTTTCATTTGAATGTGTGAAAGCAGCTAAAATAAAAAAACAGTACTCGCCACTCACTAAGCCTGAATTTTTATTATTGGTCAAAAGGAACTTGTTTCTGTCTTTAGCGTCTCTTATTCAATGTCACTGTTGGTACCACTAGAATAACTGCATGCCTATCAATATCACTATTGTTAGTACTAGTATCGGTTTAATGTCACCAAGGCCTGAAGCCATAATTAAACTTCTATAATTTTATATAATGTTCATCCAACATAGTTGATTTTTTATACTTGGTCCTTAAATACCTGCTGCTGTGTTACCACATGTACCGATTTCTAATCATTCGTGTATATATGTTGAATCCTTGAATTTCATCTGCTTTCTTGAGAGAAAAAAAAAATGCAGCTTATACATGAAAAAAATATGGTATTATTTATTGTGAATATTCATGATTAAATTCCCTTTTTGTTTCCTATGGAGTTTTCACTCCTTTGTGCATTATATTATTAAAATTGTTACTTTCATTTCTTAGTACATTTCATTGCCATCATACACAAATGTGTGATTTATTATCTAATATTCTATCACCTAAGCAACATTTGTTTTAAAGTTATGACCAACAATTCTTTTACACCTGCATATAAAATTACTTGAGTGTAGATGTAAAATAAAGAGTGAAAAACTGAAAGGTGATCCGTAATGATTAGGGGATTATTGTGCTAAGAATTATTTACGAACTTTAATTATCAAAATGTTATAAAAAGCTTCTTTTATAGATGTAAATTTTCATATGAATTATTTAAATAAATCTTAGCTGTTTAGTATTTTCTTAAATTACACTGAAAATGCTGTGTATTTAAAAAAAAATTACAATAAATGAATAAAATTTTCTTCAATTAACATTTTGTCAGATGATTGATTATTTCATATGTGCGATTTAACTAATACTTAATATAAAGGATTTTTATATTAATCATCTATTAATGTAAATTTTGAACATAACTACATTCAAAGGTCTACTTCAGAAAGTATCCATGTACTACTTGCAGGGGGGGGGAAATTGTTGGATAATTTTTTTATTACTTCACTAAATGGTGTTGATTTGTAAACATTTCTTAAGAAAAAGAATAAGAAAATGAAAGTTCAGTGAAATCAAAACTTATAAGAGCAACCAGTGCAATAAAATAAAGATCTGTCAATGAGAGAAAGGAAAGAGAAATAAAAAATCCTGATAAATAATAGCAGCAATTCAATAAATACTATGATTTTTTAGCATTCAAAATATTTTAACATAATCATTTAAAAAAATTTTGAGTATCAAATTAAGTACAAGATTCCTACTTTGAGATGTATATTTTTACTTCAGAAACTTTCATTCCAAAAGCAAAATTTGAAATTTTGGTTTTATTCCTTTCTGATTTGGAATGAGGGAATTGTAGTCTAATTTTATAGACTATTTATTTATCACTGTAGTCTTAATTTTATAGACTACAATAAATTTAGAAAACGTAAATCGTGTTTCTAAATTATGAAGGCAGTTTCAAGTAACACTATATTTCATTATTTCAAAAATAATTGTGTTTGTATACATGAAAACATTTTTATTCACTTGAAAGGGTTTTACTTTGAAGATTTAATTCTTAAATTCAATTTCTGAGTTTTAAAATATCTTTTGTAAACTTTCAGAGTTTAGTTGAAATTTTTGGTTTTAATAAATATATTCATATTTTATTTTTATATGCACCTTATTTTAATTTTTAGTCATTCGAAGATCTGGATGAAATAATTGCGAGACATGTGCAGCCCATGGCTGGTTTTGCTAGAGATCTCTTGAATTTCCGGTATTATGTTGATGCTGATGGTGGAAAAAAAGAAGAGATGGAAAAGATATTGTTTGAAGAAAAGAAGAAAGTTGCAAATAAAATTCATTACTATGTGTCAGCTTCACGAATGTTTCCTGGAAAATTCTTATTATCATACTTGCCCAGAAATAAGGTGAGTTTAGTAAACATGTTCATTAAGTGGTCTTTTATTTTTGAATTTATCAGAAACACTTGAATTAGAATTTTTGAAGTATGTGGCATCAGTAATGATTTATCCAGAAAAGTGAATGCCTTGATACAGAAAAGCAGTGAGAACAAACTGACTTTAAAGTGTTAGAAATGTGGTAATGAAGGCCACATATGATGGAACTGCAGAACACCATTGCATTCCCCTCCACAAACACACACGCTTCTGTGTGGTATATGAAATTACATGAGTATTCTGTATGTGTATATAAGATAAAAATATGTAAAGCAAACTTCTAGTTTTAATTGGTAGTGCTCCTCTTATCAATCTTAACCATATAATTTCAAAATTAGTCGATATCATGCTTCCTTACATAACTTTGCAATGCCGATACCTCTTATCCAATCATAAATCATGATTTCCATTTAAAAACTGAAGTCATTTGATTCTTCCATGCTTCTTCTGAATGCATAGTCATTTTCTTAGTTTGTTTGGCTACTGTTAATATGTTGGGCTAATTTCTGTCTTATCATCCATTGTTTTAAGGTATAAGCTTCCAAAGAGTTGTAGGGTGTATATTCTATCCATAATGATGTGTGACGTTTATTATGCATTTAAAGAATTTTGTTATCTACTGATAAAATTATGTGAATCTATGGAAACATGAGTCTGCAAGTCCATCTTTTTGTCTGCACAATAGATCTCTTCAAATCCATTACAGGTATATCTCAATCTATTACAGTTAGCCGATGAAAATCAACCTATCTCGTGAAACTTCGATGGAAAATTCTTCAGTGGTTACCCTTTTAGAAGCAAATGTCCATATATAAGGAGTAGCATGATCTATAATAATGTTAATATACTTTTAAGAAGAATTATAGAATTTAAACCAATAACAGTATTAGTAGATAACAGTTCTGAAGGTTCACTTACAGATCCTTGCATTAAACCAAATTTCTTTTATTTACTTTTCTTATTAAACTGACATACTTCACAATGTTTACACTAATTTCTAATATCTTGTATTATTCCTGCCCAGTAATGTTGAGAAGATAACAGATTTAGCATTCAGGATACATCAGTATGACAAAACTCAGTAGAAGCATTTTCAAGTAATTTAGAGCAAAGAAATATTGGTATTAGAATTTGATACAGCAGATGTTTCTTTATAGTTTTCCTAATATTTACATTACAAAAATTTTCCAAATTTTGATTTTCTTCAGTTTCTTTTAATGATAATAAATTAGTTTGTACACACAAATGTTTGCAAATAGGATTCCTTCTTATCAGCTTCAACTTTGGTAGAACTTTTATTTTATCTAAAAATACATATAAATAAATTTGACTACTTGTAGAATAATCAAAATAATCTACTTGTAGGATATTTTCTATTTTTAAGCCAAACTAAAGCAGCATGACCAATATGGACAGCAAAATGACTTCCATGCAAATAGTAATAAAATTTATCAATAGCATCTACAGTTGTTAAAAATTCCAATTCAGTAATTGCACAATTTCTTTCATAAGTTTTTCAGTTTTATGAATGGGAAGCTATAGGATATAAATTACCCTCTGGTGCTGTTGTTTTAAAATTGCACTAACAGCTTCTTCAGATGCGTTTACAAATACATGAGGGAGAGATAATTTGGATTAAATAGTGTTAAAATGGGCCTGGAAATTAAAGCATCTTTTAAATTTTGAAAGGCTGTTTGACATTCAGTTGTCCACTTATACAAAGTATCTTTTTTAAGAGGACCATAATTTAGAGGGACCATAATTTTTCCATTAATTTAGTATATATTTGTAATAAACATTCATACTATCAAGAAATCTTTCTAATTTTTAAGTAACTTCAACATCTACATTTCCGGGTTGATATTTTCCTGTTTGAACTCCATATCCTAGAAGTTTTTTTTCCCCCCTTCCCCCTAGCGGAGTGGCTATTTGAACGTTTTAATTTAATATTTTGTTTTTAACGTATATCAAATATTATTTTTACTCACGCTGGGCTTCCGAGGCACGATCAGTTTGTTAAAGCTATGTAAACCCTACCCCTTAATACTGAAACACCCCCTTTGACACAAAGGAGGCATTTCCGGAATTTTGTTTTATTCTGTTCGGACTAAAAGCCATTTTAGGCCTGGCGCGAGTAAACGTGTTTCTAATTTCGAGTTTGAAGTGCACTGGGTTCGTAGCACAACATGGCTTGCAGATTATCATATGATGAAGAAATGGAACGATTACGTAAATGGCTAAATGAAGTATCGACTGATGACGAATCTATCGAAGGTGATGATTTATTGTCTGATTGTGATGAAAGGTTTAGTGAGCATAATACATCGTCTGAAGAAAAAATCGAGTCTGATGAAGAGGACTCTATTGATTCTAATTCAGTTTGTGATTGTTTTATTGGAAAAGATGGAAAGACAATTTGGAAGAAAACAAAGTTTCGTCAAAATGTTCAAACTTTATCGCGAAATATTATTTAAAAGTTGCCTGGAAATGTTGGAATAGCAAAAAACATTACTTCTCCTCTTGAGTTTTGGAGTTTATTACTGGATAAAAATATCTTAAATACGATGTCACCTGTACAAATATATATATTGACACTATCAGTTACAACTTTCAGAGAGAACGCGATGCTAAAAAAAAAAAACTCTCCGAAATTAAAGCTTTTATTGGATTGCTATATTTATGTGGTATACATTAATCATCCCAAGTGAGTGTGAGAGATTTATGGCGAACTGATGGAATGGGAATAGAAATATTTCATAGGACCATGTTTCATGATCGTTTTTTGTTTCTTATGAGATGCATAAGATTTGACTATGTTAGAAACAAGCAAATGAGAAAAGAAATGGACAAACTTGCCCCAATAAGATATGTATTTGGCTCATTTGTGCATAATTGTCAGGAGTTTTACACAGCTGAATCATATGTTTCAATTGACGAAAAACTCGAACCATTTAGAGGATGCTGTTCATTTCGACAGTACATGCCAAAAAAGTGTGGAATAAAGATTTTTGCTCATGTTGATGCAAGAACTTTCTTTGCATGTAATTTAGAAGTTTATGCAGGTACTTCCCCAAGGCCCGTATCATGTAAATAATTCACCAGTTGAAGTCGTCAAAAGGTTAACAGAAAAGTTAAATTCTGTGAGAAATGTAACAGTCGACAACTGGTATACTAGTTATGAACTTGCAAAATATCTCCTTCAGAAAAACATTACTCTAGTGGGCACCATAAAAAAGAACAAGAGGGAAATACCGAAAGAGCAATAAAAATCGTAAGGTGCATTCATCCTTGTTTGCATTCCAGAAAGACATGACTTTTAGCGTAGTATTTAAAAAAAAATATAGATAGATATATATATCTATAGATTATTTTATTTATTATTTTATTATTATTATTATTATTATTCTTATTATATATTATTATTATATATTATATTTTTGTTAACCTCTTATCTACAATGCATAATGACGGCGCCATTGACCAAACAACAGGTGAGGCAAAAAAATGAAATAATAACATTTTATAATTTGAGGAAAGAAGCTGCTGATGTGGTGGACCAAATGTCAGCAGCATATTCAAATGCAAGAATCAGCAAAAGATGGCCGATGGTTCTGTTCTTTACACTGCCAAATACTACTGCAATCAATTTTCGAGTATTACTCCAATGCTCGAAACATCCATCCTTACAGCACAGGAAGCGGAGTCAGTTTTTGAGAGCTCTTGCAACAGATTTGCTGAAAGACTACACAGCGGAGAGGTGCACTGTACCATGTCTGCCTCGACATTTGCAAGAAAAACTATCTCCCAAGAGCAAAGAACCTACTGCTAAAAAAACAGAAAATAATTGAGAGAAAAAGGTGCTATATTTGCCCAAGTTCAAAGGACCGAAAATCTAAGATAATATGTACAAAATATGAAAGAAATGTCTGTGAAGATCATTCTATTTTAACATGTACCAATTGTACATAAAACTTGGTAAATTTTTTTTTAAAAATTCTGTACATATATTAAATAAAATTAGAGCTCTAAATATTGTCTTAAATTATGTTGTTAGTAAATGCTTAATGGGGTGTTTAATGACCTGCATAAAATATAAATCCATAAACGGGCCTCGCAGGCCCGGCGCAAGTACTTGCGTAAGTACGATTAGTGCGAGTAACGCCGGGTTAAAATGTCCTGAATACTTCTCAAAATACAATGTCATCAAAATAATTTAGAGCAAACTGAACTTGATATTTATTTAAAATTTGTCTAAGTTCCTTTTGAAAAAAAACACCTTGGGAATTTTCATTGGGATGGAACCTTGGAAATTCAACATTTTTCCTTGATAGCAGTGTCAGCACGGACTGTCATCTCACTGTGCCTCTTACTGGCAATGATTTTATCTTTTTCCAGATACTGTTTGTGGATAATGGCACAGCAATCCCACTAGATGCAAAGCATGATCTTTTTGTTAGTTAAACTGCACTTGATTACATCTGCACCAGCAGTTATAGTATCATCGATTTGGTGGCATATGCCAACGTGCAGGGATCATAGGATGTGATTTGCAGAACACTGTGTGAGGCTTGGCCCAGATTTAAATGCTTGCCATTGACACACCATTATAAGGAGTGACACATAGTGCTTGTATGGTTCCACTTCACTCAAGCGGAACATTATCCAATACAAGAAATATGATCTTCAGCAACAAATTATACCTTCTGTCAATGCTAATGACCACCGCATACATGTCTGGAGATGTAGAATTCTTCTATGTACCATTTGTTACAGAGCTGGGACAGCCGTTCACCATTAGTTGTACTGTGAGGTAATTTGACTTTGCACCAGGTACACTGACGACACTTCACAGTCATCATACTGCCAGGTTTTCCAGGTTCTATTTCCAGCAGGACAATGCTTCACTATATACAGGATGGCTTTTACAAGAATGTTATGACTGGTCTCCCAGCTTTCCAGACCTGTTGCCTGTCAAACATGTTTTGGACATGTTGTGCAGGCAAATTCAGCCATGTACAAATGCATTCCAACTTGCTGACCAGTTGCTTCATTTGTGGCACAATCTACTGCTGAGGGACTTTGATAGCTTAATGACTCCATGGCCAACAGAGTATCAGCATGTATAGTTGCCAAGGGTGGATTTACTACCTGCTGATTTTCACATTCTTTGTATTGCTACTCATAAATAAATGCCTTTTCCTCCAGTTTTTGATCATTTGTTTATTTATTCAAACACTATACTACTGCCGAGTTTTATAGCTGTGGCTCAGTTCTTTTTGGGAGCCTCTGTATATATATATATATATATATGCACAATATTGTAACAAAATATATATGTATATATATTTGCAACAGAGTGCATATATATTATATCTAAATGAATAAATACAAAGAAAAAAGGCAGTTTAAAACTTAATCCAATTCCGTGCTGAAAGCCACAACAAATGGTGGTAATAGTGCAGTATAAATTTAAATAAATTAAACATTTAAAATCCATTCCATATTTAATTCAAAATAAACCATACATATACCATATATATATATATATATATAAACAGAAACGATGTGACAAAGGAAAAAATGCCGAAACGAAAAAAGAACTTGCGTCTCTGCATTGTCATCAGGGGGTTGGTTCAACAAAAGAAGTAAATAAGTCATCCTGATTTTGACCCAACAAAGACACAAATTAAAATTTAATACTTAACATAATCTTAGATTAAAGTTTAATACTTAAAAATAATCTGTATATGTGTATTATAGTGTGAATCGAATCAAATGTCCCAAGGTAAACTTTTAAGTATTTCTTTTTATTAAAGTTCTAGTTACAATATTGTGCATTTTGGTTTAGATGTGTTTAATGTTGAGAAGTCAATATTTATGTGTTTATGTGCATATGTCATTCACCTATTTATAAAGAAATTGTAGTTGTAGAGACATCAACCCTCTCTCTCTTTTTTTTTTTGACATTTCTTTATGCTTTGAAAAAAATAATACAGTCAAAAGTCTTTAATCCGGACTCGTCGGGACTCGGTGATTCCGGATTAAGATCATCAGTTTAAATCTGTAGATGCATGCAGAAATTATAAAATTAAAATATGAAACCGTAATTTATAAAATATGAGCAATTATGACTAAAGGGTATCAAATTTACAAAAAAAAAGCTTAATATTTATGTTACTTATTAAAGTTCAAGCTTACTTTATAAAATTGCTCTTACAGTCTGCAAAAAATTAATAGCCGGATCCATTCGAAGATAAGGAACAAGCAATCATCAACATAATGAAATAGACATTAGATAATTTTAGCTTATACCGTCAGTTATACATTAAACTGCAGCGAAAACGTATTTGCCCGCTGTGCACGCAAACGAGCAGTCGTAAAGGTCTTACGCTCACGCTTAAACGCCTGTGCGCATGCGTCAACGCGGCGCATGCACAGAAAGTTTTTAGCTTTGAGGTCTGGATTATGGGTGTCCGAATTAACGACTTTTGACTGTATTATACTGCCTTAAGTTACCGTTGTCATTCTTCGAGTTGCTATTTTGTATATCAACAAGTACTATTCCATAAGCATCTGAATTCTGATTTTAAAATGTATCATTTTATTGTAGTCTTTTTCTATAAATATTTCTGCTGAATTAATAAAAGTTCATATTTTAGAATATAATAACTTTTCTTGGAGTAATTTTAAGTCTTGAATTATAATCTGTTTTAATTACATTTGCACATTTCATATTTATTTTACTTGTTAATGAGTAAATATCCTGTGTGTTTATATTACTTATAATAATCTGCAACATTCAGTCTTTATTTGGAAACAGTTTGGTAAAAGACTTTTTGTATTTCAAGAGTTAGTGGTTAACCATAAGTAGCAAACAATTGCTTTATTTTAAATCTTTTGTAAAGGTAACTTGAATATTGATAATTAATAAATGACTTGAATATTGATAATTATAATTATTATTCATTTTATTATATTGAAATATTTGATGGTTATTTAAGCATTTCATTTATCATATTTACTCAAAAATAACATCTCTCAAATACAAGCTCCTACTTATATTTTAAATAATTTTATGAAATAAAAATAGAGGTTAAATTTAATTTTGCTGCAGTAATTCAGGCAAGATAATCTTATAATTATAGTTTAGTTAGTAATATTTAATGTTATAATTATTTTATTTAGCATAATAATTAAATTTTTTCACATTTATAGTTTCATTTATCAAAATGCCCATTTATAAGACCCTACCAAATTTTATAATAAAAATATAAAAAAAGGGAATCTTATTTTTGAGTAAATATAACTTTGTGGCACAAATTTTGTTATGAAGTAATATTTAACTTTTAAAATTTTAGGTTAGGCATGAATTTATTACTGTCTTACCTGAAGGATTACGTTACCGCAAACGTGTCTTTCGGTCAGTAAATTCTTTGTTCAGATGGTTTAAAGAGCATTTTAGGGACCCAATACCTGGAACTCCTACTGCTATGTCTGTTCGCACACCAATGGGACAGTCTTCTTATATAGGAAACACTCCTAGTATTAATCTTGCAAGTATGTTTAAATCTTATTTTTTCCATTTGATCACTTAATCATTTAATGTGTATAAATTTTTATTATTGTGATATATTAATATTAATTAGACTTCAAGGGAGTTGTATTATTTTCATTTAACATGTAAAGTTTTGTCTTGGTAAAACCAGTCAATGAGAACATATAAAATCTAGAAATAATCCTTGGAAAGTTTTGCCTCTGTGCAGAACAAAATATTTTTAACCTATTTTTCTCATGCTTTTCCCATAACTGGTTTTCAGTTTGTTGCCATTCAACAAAACAACTTTATTCAGTCTCTTATTAACCCTTTCAGGACATGCGTCCTATATATGCATTCCCTAAGAACGTCACTTACAGCTGGGTGTCTCATCCACACATCACTAGAGAATGCATTCAGAGAACGAGTGATGCGTATATGCATTTTAAGCTGGAACATTTTTCTGAAGGCCACTAGATGGCATCCTATGTCCATTACTTTTGAAATGAACACAGTTTTAGGTTTCTGACCTTGAGTTTGACATATTCTGCCTGACTTTGGTATTTTACTCATCAACTTTTGCGAGGGGGAGAGGGAAAGCATAAACAGAAGTGGGCCCTTTAAATCACCGCATGCTAATATAAACATTTATGTGCCTGATTTCTATCCAATTCCTTTTTTTTTTTTATTCTAATTTTTCCTCTACTATATATAGGGTCTTTTGGGTTACTGTGTGGAATTCTATTACGTTTTGCATTGCCTTCAGATATATTTCTGTTTCTTCTCTTTTTATTTCGGAAAGCCTCACCTCCAGTCTATTATGGCGGGAAGGCACTATTTACCATAGGAAGAATACCCTCGTATGGTTAATGAACCATTTACTAACGCATATGAGAGTGATGATTCATTTTCTAAAGAGTTAGAAAGTGATACTTCTCCGTGCTTCGAGATTTACCATACTCAGTCATCATTTTAAATTTTATTACTTCTTACCATAAATAGTCTTTATTGTGTTGTTTTATTAATTTAAAAATTTATTGATGGATTTTTATCAATTAAAACTTTGGAGTAATTTGAATAGCGCTTTCGAAAATTATTTTACAAGGTAAGCAATTTTTACAAGATAAGCAAGTATATTTTCATGTAAAATAAAGGAAAAAAT